CCAATCATAGACTTTGTGCCAGGAGGGCTGGACCTGTGCTCGCAAAAGCGGGGTGTGGCCTAGATACGCGTCTTTGTCGCATGAGTACCGGAAACACCAGCGACATACGTACACTCTGTCCGTGTCCTTTCCAACCAGCTCTTCTGGATATAGTGAGTGGAACCAGGTCTTGAAACGAATATTGCCCAATACTACACTTTTTACATTGCGGTCTGGGCTTGGTGGTTTGGACGAAGCGGAGGAAGCGACGGCATGCTCATTCGCAGGCATGTTGTCGTCCCCAATGTGGTGGGGTTGGGGCCGTATACCGCAATTGTTTTCACGATGAAGGTTTCGGAAAATTAGAGTCGCGGACGTTGCATCTCAGCGGTGGAAACTTCTGATACATCAACCCAACGGATCGAACGATCTCATGGTTGTTGGCACTTCTCACTGGCGGTTCCCAAAATGATAGGACGGATGGATTTGACAGTCATGTGATCGATAGTGTCTCCGATTGGGACTAGTGAACTGACTAACTAGTGCCCTTTCACGGCAGTTACCTAAGCAGGTGTACGCAGCTCCCCCGGCTCGACGCGGGGAAGCGGGCAGAGGCTCCGCCTGCTTCATCGACCGCCACCCATCTTTATCGTGTTGCCTAGAGGTGAGAACAGCTTGCTTCCTACTGTCCCCAGCGCTATCTCTGTGGGAAGGGCGAGAGCTGTCTCCGTTGTCCCCAGCCCGTGGGTCTGCCCTCCAACCTGGCAAGACAGCTCTTCTCTCGCTAGGCTGCTACTTTTCTGGCTTGGCCTGTTCTTTAATTCTCATCCTTCCCCTGCTATCACCTTGCCATTCTATGTGCTGTATCATTTCTACGTGAAAATCCTCCTTACTCTGGTGGTTGTTTGGCACTTTTACTTGATGAGCTTGATCCTCTATATCGATATCCTTTCGATTTGTGCCCGAGTTGATACATCTCGCCCAGAATGCTGAAGCCCTTTCGAATCAGAGATCTTCTAATCCCAACCGATGAGGAGGAGCTTGATCACCCCAGATGTCGTCCACAAGATGGACAAGACGGTTCAAAGCCGATTCCTAGATCACATACTGATGGCGAACTGGTGATGGCTTATAAGCAGCCTAATAATGGTGATGACGGTAAATTTTGTCCATATTCGACCTACGATTTGCAATCAATCCCGTCTACGGATGCTGATGGAAGAACAGCCAAAAAAGGTATCGACATCCTGATCCCAAGCAAGCCACCTTCCGATCGCAACGACATGTCCAGCAATTTAAGGAGAAATAAGTGGACTAATGCAACAGTTACTCCATCGCCAGCAACAGATCGCCACGGTATTGTTCGGGTTTCAGCTGAGGAATACGATAAAACGATTGCGGCTCATCCTCAATCAAAATTGACTTACATGGATGAGGACGATGGAGACACAATTACCGTAGGCTGCACATTTCTTATTCTGTCTAAGCCATTAGTTTTGAAAAACTGCAATCTTTCATGGATGGCCATTGATTATGAAAACAGGTCTGTTCTGCTTTCGAGCTTATTGAGCGCCTTAATGAGCCCGCCCCACCAGCATTTTATCAATCAGCTGTTTCTAGCTATGACCAAGGACATGAAGGGCCCATGCACATTTTTGATGTTAATCGTACAAAATCTGTATTGGATATATGGATAATTTTCGAGAAAAGGACTGCTATGGAAAGACGGTTGGATACCTCTGTATCAGCTCATCATGAAGCCACTTCTGCAAAGACTGTCGATGGCAATAGCGACGTCCGTCCAGAGCCCGTATGCAAGATAAGCAACAGCAATGATCCTAGAGATCACCGGCTTCAATCACAGAATTCCCCTCCAACTCCCCAAACCACAAGGCATCAAAATGAAAATGCATCAATTTCCCCAGTCAGCTCGCTTGGCGGTGATGAATCGTCCGAACCTCTTGCTTCAATAGATGTCAAACCATCCCAGGAAACTACTTTCAGACACCGTCATGCCAGGGATAGTACTTCTGACACTCAGATATCCATCCCATCGGTGTCCCTTCCGGCAATAAACCCCTGGGCTTCGGTGGGCACTTGGCCATCTGGTTTCGAGTCTAACGGTTTAACGCAAAGGGAGCCAGAAAGCCGGGAATCACCTATCGAAGAAAACGTACCACTCTTGGCATCTTTTGAGGCCGAATTATCGAAGATCATGAAAGAGAAGCTTGTTGATTCGCCTACAATTGAGCCACGGGAACAAAACACCACTCAGACTACCTCACAGTGCCCACCTGCTTCACATCCTGTACCGAAACCTGCCGAAGTGTTCGCTCAAACTATGCAAACATTGCTTACAAGCGTTCGCCACTTAACTTCGGAATTGAGGGCCAAGCTTCCTGAAGTGGAACGCCGATTATCAAATGCACACCAAACCATTCCCTCGACAGTAGAAACAACTATTTTCAATACTCTCAGCGCCATCGGTAGCCATGTTCAGAATCTTGCAAATGCTATGCAAGCCACTGCTACTTCATCGAGAGCAGCTGCTGACATGTCCAGGGAAGCTGATCTGCTGGCCACTGACCAAATAGTCAATGGCCTCCGCACCCTAGCAAGAGATATTCGACAAATGGGTCGAACTCTGTTTGCTTCTTTCGATGCCACGTCCGGAAACGCAGGATCATCACAAGATCGGCAAAGCGGAGAACTCCCTCTAGGAAATGCAGATACCCTCAGTCAATCCAACCAACTGGCTACATCCTTGTCCAATGTTTGCCTTGATAATTCAATACCCTCAGACCCTTTACCCAAGGTCTCCACCTCTCCAGCATCCACAGAAAGCGTGAGCCAGACTGCATTCCCACAAGAAACGCCATTGGCAGACTCCAATTCCAACACTACCCTATTCATTGGCAACCTTCATGATGCCGTTACCGAACAGGATGTTGAAGCCGCCTTTGCGGACAAAGGCTTCTTGGGCAAAGTAAATTTTCCTCATGATTTTTCTACGGGTAAACACGCCGGTTTTGGCTTTGTTGATTTTCCTTGTTTCTTCGCTGCGTCTGGTGCTCTCCATGCTCTTAACGGAGGCCAACTCCATGGCCAGGCTATAAATCTTGAATTTAACCATGGTGTCGGCACTATTAATGATAGCACTATCCAACAGCCATCCATCCGGGCAGTACATGTTTCAGAAACCAATCAACGTTGCAATATATCTCGCCCTCTCCCAGACGTCCCCAAATCTCCGAGACTGTCCGTCTACGGCCCTACGCGGACATCGGCTCTAGACGATACCAGGAACTCCAGTACAACCTCCGCTAGCATCAGACGTGCCAAATCCCTCGGAGCTTTACGGCGACCTGTGGTCCACGATCTCCCATGCCACAGAGCCTCTACCGTGGATTATATCAGAGAGCAGATAGGCAGAGAGATCAAATGTGAAGTGGGAGTTCGCCTTATCATTCCTCAACTC